AAAGTTTAAGATTTTTTCTCAATCCAGCAACAGCGTAATGAGTCAGCCACAAACAAGTGCCAACGCAGAAAAATCTCCTGTGGCAAATCACGAGATACAGACTACAAAATAGGAACAAATATAACAGCATCTGTTATCCGACACGCAAAAGAAAAAAAAAAAAAGATGGGAGTCTACCCAAGAAGTGTGGAACAGTCTGCTCTACTGTAACGTTTCTGGTTCACGGCCCACTGCCGATCCGGTCCTCCTATCGCACTCCATCAAAACTCAGTCGGATTTGTGCCGAAGAGTCCGGCGGGTGGGACGGAGGCCACAACTCCGGAAACCAAGCCTGCCACATCCTACCGACCGACGCACCGGCGCTTTCGCACTGGCCGCGATGCGGTGGGCCTCCCCCGCAAACCGCGCCATTTCCACGGCTGTGCAACGGTCCTCTGGCCTGTGTCCAAACATGTAGCGACACTTGGAGAGACAAAACCAATAACAATTTAGCAATGTGTGCACTGTCCACCACTATTGGGGTGGGGGCCCCGCCCGGCCTGCCCTCTGCGGTCATTCCCTGCCAGCTGTTGCTGCGCTGCCGGTGCGCGCGTGGGCTGGGGGAGGGGGGGGCGTGGTGCCCGCTGCGAATCCTCGTCGACGTCCTGGTCCGGGGCGGCGGGGAGCTTCGCGCGATGCCACGGGGCTGCTTAAAGGTCAGCCGAGGGCTGCTTCCTCCTCACGAATCTGGAGAAGTATTCAGGCCGCCAGCACTTGCAGGAGCCCGGCACCAGGAACCAGTCGTAGTAGAGCCGCACCTGGAACACGACGGGACGGGACGCACCGGGCCAGTGAAAGCGAAGAGGGCTTGGCACCGCCCGGCGCGGCGGCGGGGCGAGCCGCGCGGGCACAGCCAGACACAGCTGACACAGCCCCTCCCGCCGAGCGAACCCTGACCTACCTGGAAGCAGCCTATCTCGTCGACGCCGTCGCAGTGCGTGCTGGCGGGCGAAGCTGCCGCCGAGGTGGCGCGCCCCGTCGAGTTGCCCGCCGCCATGGAGGCCATGGGGGCCTCCCGGATGGACCGCTTGTGGAGGTACTGGGGCGAGTTCTGCAGAAAAGGGTAAAGGGGTGAAGTTTTCATCTGGAGACGGGTTCTTTCGTTGCGATCTTCTTCGCGAAGTGGAAGCGGGCCGCGCACTCACCTGGTGGTCCGAGTCGCGATGCGGATGGTCGCGCTGGTCCCTGCCGGGGAGCACCGCGTCCGGGTAGTACAGCTCGGCGACCAGCATGCTCAGCCAGCGCGGCGACGACAGGCAGGCGCCGTCCATGTAGTGGCACTTGTTTTGACTGCAACACCGAGACGCACGTGTAGGCGTGTGCGTGGAGGGGGCGTGGAATAGTCTTGGGGAGAGGGGGGGGGGGTACTACTCACAGACAGCGAGTGACCTCCACGGTCTGGGTGAAGTAGCCCTCGTACGGTATCTGCACCACGTAGCGCCACACGCCCTGGTAGTTCCGCGCGAACACGGGCGTAGAGTACTCCACCCTGGCGGGGCATGGCGTGGGCGGCGGGCCCTCGTAGCCCATGTGCGGCCCAGGTCCCTGCTGGCCCTGCTGGGCTGGGCCGCCCATGGGGCCACCACCTCCAGGCGGGCCACCGAGAGGGCCACCGTGGCCCCAGGGACCGGCGCCACCGCCGTCCTCCCGCCGCTCGGGCCCCCCCGGGGCGCCCGGGCCGGGTCCGCCGCTCGGGGGGCCACTCTGTCGCTGGGGGCCGCCCGTAAGCCCGAGCGCGCCCAATGCGCCCAGCGGCTCGCCCTGGATGGCCTTGTACAGCATGCACATCCTGAAATACACGACAGCCGGTTCAAACGCTCTGTTTATCGATGGAAAACCTCGCGCGCGTCACCGAGGCACACTCACACTCCACCGCCGTTGTCGCAGAACTTGCGGCCCTGCCTGCTGGACGAGCGGCCCTGAGCCGCCTCCGGGGCCGCGTCAGGGACGGAGCGGGTCACTCGGTTGCTGCTCGGGCTGCTGTAGTACGCCCCCTCCGCCGACTTGGCCACCTTCGGCAGGGACTCGTCCGCCTGCAGGATCGGCAGCGCCTTGCTGAAGAACTCGAGGGTCTTGTTCTTGATGAGCTCACTGCGGGGAGGTGTCAGGGTTATTTAGGGACGCTCATGATTCGGAACACTTCCTCGCCCAGCGTAGCACACCATGGCTACTCACAAGGGATAGGGCGTTCCGTTGGGTGTGGGGCGCATCGGGTTCCTCGGGATGACGCCCTTGTTGAGGTCGCCGCAGAGGTTGTTCAGGGACTTCTTGGACGCGCTGGGCCCAGCGAGTCCTGCAGAACAGAGCGACAAGGTCATCACGAGGACGTTCCGCGTGGACGCGCACTCCCATCGTTCAAAAGGTTGGGGAGGCGGGGGGAGGCTTACCTGGACAGGGCACGTCCACGAACACGTAGGGCGGCGGTCCCACCTTAGGGGGCTCGGCGTTGGGCGCCTCCACGAACGCCATGTAGCCCTCGGGCGCCTCCAGCAGTGGGTCCGGGGGCGCCCCCGCGGGCCCACCCCTCGGGCCGCCACCCTGCAGCGAGGCCGGCGATGACACGACAGCCAGGACGCCACCCGCGCAAGCGCACAGGACCTGCAAAAGCACAGGGCGATTGTGTATGCTCAAGGACTAAAATGCAAAAGGAGACAGGCCCAGGAAAAAAAGTTTTACCGAGGACATGATCATGCAAGAAGATGATACAAATTTGAGGCCAGTGCCTTGTCTTGATTTGGCCCGATATCGAGAAAGGTTTCGTAATGCCCACTGTACCATCCGATAAAAACGGGAACTCATAACTTGCGCCTCCACCGAAGGCCCCATTTCATTCAAACTAAAGTTTTGTACCAAAACTACCACAATGCCGTTCCGGTCGGCCAATAAACGCGAACGAGTCATGGATTTGTCATTTTAACATCCAAATTGTTTCCGAAACAGTCAAGATTTCAGGCTGAAACTGCGTCATTTTGACCCCACACGAGCTCAGCTCTAGTGGGGGACCGCCCGCCAGAGTGAGGGTAGGCAACCCTCAGCGGGGTGTGCACCGAGTCGCGGCCGGTGGCCTACCGCGCCGGGGGCTCGGCTCGGGCTGGGCTCGCTCGCCGGCCGAGGGGGGTCGTCGACCCTCGAGCGCAGCGCTGTAAGTCGCTGGCCCAACTGGCATGGTCGCCGCCAAGGTCAAAGAAAGTCGAGGGCGGGTCAAGGACAGACGCGTCAATCCCGTCTTAACATTGTGAGAGAGGAGCCCAAGGGAATGGAATGGAGTGCGTGCAGTGGAGCCGGGCTGCGGGCCGCGGCCGGGGCCGGCGGGGACCAGGGCCCCGAGGAGGAGGCGCGTCCCGCCGGGCCAGACCGCCCTGTTTAAAGTATGCCGGGTCCGACGGCCGGCAAGCTTCGTCCCGGATCTGGGTCAAACTGATGTCGGGTCAGCCGGGCCGCGGCGGGGCGGCGGGGCGCGGTGGGGCGCGGTGCTGTTGGAGCGGGGCGCGGCGGGGCCCATACCCCGGCTTCAGGTGGGTAAACCTGCTACCCCTCTCCCGCCCGCTCCCCCGCGCTGCCCCCACCGCCGCGTTTGCCGTCATTTTCATTCCCCATTGATTCTTGCGTGCGTGCTAGAGAGACGGCGCGTGCGCACGCCCCGCACGCCAAGCACGCGTTGCACGCCACGCACGCCACGCACGCCCCGCACGTGCAACGCGACCACCTTTAGCTGTGTGCACGATGCAAACCCCGCCGCCCCGTGCTCACGCCGTGCTAGCGGGTCCGCATTCCGCTGCCCAGCTGATCCGGCCCGGCGGCCGGCCCGGCTGGACGCGTTTATTTTGGTCACATGCAGATTCCAGCCCCGCCCCCTCCTTCCCCCC